CCCTCCTGTGCTGTGCCCCAGTGTTCCCACTGGGATCTCACCTGAATGGAGAGGGAGAATCTCCTCATTCTGTTGTCCCTGCCCACGGCAGGGTGTGGAACAAGGTGACCTTTGAGGTCCCTTCCAACCCAAGCCATTCCATGTTTCTGTGATTGTGGGAAGAGCATGGTGCTGGTGTTCACCAGAGCAGGGTGGTGCTGGCGATCCTGGGGAAACACAGCAGCAGGAATTGCTGGATTGAGGTTTTGGGAAAGCACAGTCACCTGCCCTCAGAAAACTGATGGGATGAGAGGAGCACCTTTGGGTGCAGAGACACCTGAGGAGAGGAAATCTGGAATCCTCCCAGTGCGACAGGAGCAAGCAGCAAACTCCAGAGGTGGCTGCCAGCACAAAACGCCTTTATCCCTGTCCCTGCAGCTTCCCAGTGCCTCTGGAAAAGCCCTGGAGCCTCCTTTAGAGAAGGAGTTTAGAGGGCAGAATCAGCCCAGGCTGCTGGAGCGATGTTCCTCTGCTGTTCTCATCCCAGAAAGTAAAGCAGGCAGGAGTCAGAGGCACTGGCTTGGAAAACACAGGTGGAGTGAGGATGGGAAGCAATCCATTGGGAAGCAGAGATACAGGGCAGGCAAAAAAATCCCTAGAAAAATGCTATTACTGACAAGGGAAGTGAAAACATCAAGAGCTCCAGGCTGGATCCTATAAAACCCCAAAAATCTGCTGGAGGGCAGCTGCTTTCCTTGGCTTTTCTCCCTTTTTTTCCCCTGCAGCCCCATAAAGGAAAGCAGGAGCTGGAGGTGAGGGCAGCAGCCTCAGCTGTCCCCCTGGGCACGTGACAGCCGTGACAGATGGCCCTTCCCTTCGGAGCCTCCAGGTCCTTCCCGGGCACCTGGGAACAGCCGGGAGCTGGGATTTTCCTGCACCTCCTGGATCCAGAGCTGCTGCTCTCCCCCTGCATCTGCCCTCCCCTGGGGTAGGCTCTTGTCCTCCTAATGGGTTTTTCCAGGTGTTTTCCCCATCATTAATGAATCCCGGGCTCCAGAGCAGGGAAAATCTTTGGGGTGTTGTTTAATGGGGTTAAACTGGTGGGTGTGTGCCCCTGGGATGGCTCTGATTTCCCTCCTGGCTGGAGATGAGGGGACTGAGGTGGTGGGACAGAGGTGGTGACAGAGCTGATGGGATGGAGATGATGGGACAGGGATAATGGGACAGGGATGATGGGACAGAGGTGATGGGGACAGGAATGAGGGTGATGGAGAGGGTGAGGAGACAGATGATGGGGCAGGTATGATGGTGACAGAGGTGGTGACAAGGATGATAGGACAGAGATGATAGTGACAGGGTTGAAGGGACAGAGATTATGGTGACAGAGGTGATGGTGGCAGGGATGATGGGGACAGGGATGGTAGGACAGAGGTGATGGGACAGAGGTTATGGTGACAGGGTTAAAGGGACAGGGATGATGACAGGGATGATGGGACAAGATGGTGGGGACAGAGATGATGGTGACAAGGATGATGGGGACACAGATGATGGGATAGAGGTGATGGCAACAGGGTTGAAGGGACAGGGATGATGGTGACAGGGATGATGGGGACAAGGGTAATGGGGACAAGGATAATGGGCACAGGGGTGATGGTGACAGAGATGATGGTGACAGGATTAAAGGGACAAAGATGATGGTGACAGGGATGATAGGACAGAGATGATGACAGAGGTTATGGGACAGAGGTGATGGCAACAGGGTTGAAGGGACAGGGATGATGGTGACAGGGATGATTGGGACAAGGATAATGGGCACAGGGATGATGGTGACAGGGACAATGGTGACAGAGATTATGGTGACAGGGATGATGGTGGCAGGGATGATGGTGACAGGTTGAAGGGACAGAGGTGATGGTGACAGGGATGACAAGACAGAGGTGATGGGACAGAGATGCTCTTCCACAGAGGATTAAACAGGTGCTCCTTGAGAGCTGAAATCCCAGGGATGCCCCCACCCCATGTGGAGCTGAAGAAGTTCTTTGCCATATTAATAACCAGGAAATCCCAATGCTGATACCCTAGGGCTCCTGTGGAGCAGCTCACCCCGAGCTGGAGCAATGAACCCTCATGGGGGAGTTTTGGGGGAATTAGGTGGGAAAGCCCTGGTGTGGTGCAGTGGTGTTGGTGTGCCAGGATGGAGTGGCCATGCCAGGGCATTCCCTCTCCCTTGCCAGCAGGATGTCATGCCTGGAAGAGCACCTTTGGCACTGAGGGAACATTAACCCAGTTTACAGATTCTGAGTCACTCCAAACTCTTTTCTCATCATGGAGAAAACCCACAGAAGTCAATTAAAATATTACCAGATATTTTTTTATGGACTGATTGTGCCATTCCCACTGCCTGGAATGTTCATCCACCTCTCAGACCATGGCCAGCTCCAAGCATGGGAGCTATCCCACAGGCTGCTGTAGGGATTTTTTGGAAGGATGAGGTTTGGTGAACACCCAACATCCCTGCAGCTGCAGGCTTTTGGGATGGGTGCTTTTATCCCAGTGGAGTCTCTGGGAGCTGCTTGCAATTTATTTCATATTTCCCTTCCCTTCCCTTCCCTTCCCTTCCCTTCCCTTCCCTTCCCTTCCCTTCCCTTCCCTTCCCTTCCCTTCCCTTCCCTTCCCTGGCAGTATTTGATGTCACAGCCAGCCTTGGGGACAGGACAGAAAAGGGACATCCCAGCTTGGGGATGAGCCTGGAAATGAAAAAAAAAAAAAAAAAAAAGTTCTGATTAAAAAAAAAAGCAAAAATCAGCAATTTTCCAGCCTTTTTAGCCACATCCCAACTCAGAGGGAGTTGACCACTGTGAGCACAGATAAAGCCATTGGGAAACTGGCTTTGTGCTCCCCAGAGCTGGGAGGGGCTGGCATGGGGATGCCAGCTGGGAACGAAGTCACACACCCAGAGGCAGGGAGGTCACAGCTCTGAGGACGCTGTGCCTGGAGCAGGTGAAGGCTCTGGGAGCATCATCCTGGCTCCGTCTCTCCGGAATAATTCCCGAGTGTTGGCCAGGCTTGGCCTCCATTGCCCCAGAGCAGGAATCCCCAGTGCCCGTGAACCCACCCAGTGCCCCAGACCCTCCAATGTCCCAGACCCTCCAATGCTCCCCCAAATAGCCCAGATCCTCCTGTGTCCCAGACCCCTCCATTGCCCCAGATCCCCCATTGCCCCAGACCCTCCAATGCCCCCTCCAGTGCCCCAGATCCCCCCCAGTGCCCCAGATCCCCCCAAATGCCCCAGACCCCTCCATTGCTCCAGATCCCCCCCCCAGTGCCCCAGACCTTCCCATTTCCCCAGAGCTCCCCATTTCCATTCTCCATCTCTGCCCCAGCCCCCACAATGCCCCATTTCCCCCCATTATCTCAGGTCCCCCACATTCCCCAGCCCCTATTATCCCCCCAATGCCCCCACCACCCCATTTCCAGCCCCCCCTCATTTCCCCAGGTCCCCCTTTTGCACCAGCCCCCCAATGTCCAAGCCCCCCCTTCCTCATTTACTCCCCATTACCCTAGACCTCCCAATTATCCCAGACCCCCATTTCCATCCCTCCCATTATCCCAGACCCCAATTTCAATCCCCCTCATCCTCCCTGCCCTCTTGCCCCCTGGTGCTCCCCTCCTGTCCCATTCTGGGGGTCAGACGGACTGGGATGAGCATGGATGGACTGGAGAGATGGGGATGGGGATGGGGGGGATGAATGAGGGACAGGGATGGGATGGGAATGAGGGAATTCTTATGAGGGTGGGGAGGTGTGGGAATGGGGAATGGGGATGGAAGGATGGTGATGAGGATGGAGAGATGTGGGGGTTTGAGGCATGGGGTGGATGGGATAGGGATGGGTGGTGATGAGAATGGGGGTGCTGATGAGGATGAGGAGATGTGGGGATGGAGGGAAAGTGCTGGGCTGGGGGCTGCGAGGGGGCTGGGGGTGATGATGAAGATGGAAAGGTGATGGGGGTGATGGGGTAGGGGGTGATGAGGATGGGGGTATTGATAAAGTAGGGGGGTGTTTAGAGGGTGGGGGTGTGGGCAAGGGGGGGATGGGGATGTGGGAAGGTGATGGGATGGGGGTGATGATAAGGTTGGGGGGATGTTGATGAGGAGGGGGGGTGATGATGAGGATCAGGAGGTGTGGGTGTGGGGGTGATGAGGCTGGAGGGATGTTGATAAGGTTGGGGGGTGTATTGATGATGATGGGGGTGTTGATGATGATGGGGGTGTTGATGATGATGGGGCTGTTGATAAGGGATGGGGGTGTTGATGAGGATGGGGGTGTGGGCAAAGGGGGGGATTGGGATATGGGAATGTGATGGGATGGGAGTGATGGGGTTAGGGGTGATGATAATGTTGGGGAGATATTGATGGAGGGGGGGTGATGATGAGGATAGGGAGGTGTGGGTGTGGGGGTGATGGGGCTGGGGCTGATGATGAGGTTGGAGGGATGTTGATGAGGAGAGGGGGTGATGCTGAGGATGAGGGGGTGTGGGGGTGATGGGGCTGGGGGTGATGATAAAGCTGGAGGGATGTTGATAAGCTTGGGGGGGGGTGTTGATAAGATTGGGGGGGTGTTGATAATCTTGGGGGGGGGTTGCTGAAGATGGTGTGGGGGTGCTGATGCCGGTGAGGGTGCTGACGGGGGTGAGCATGCTGATGCGCGTGTGGGTGCGGGGGCGATGCCGGGCCCGGGGCTGCCGGCCCGGGGGTGTGCGGGGGTTCCCGCGCGGAGCGGCGCGCAGCGAGCGCGGCCCCGCGGAGCCGGAGCGCGCCGCCCCCGCCCCCGCCCCGCCGCGCCCGGGGGGGGGTAGCGGCGGCGGCGCCGCGCTGACGGCTCGGTGGGCACCGCGATGCTGCGGGCCGCGGCCGAGCGGGGCTGAGCGGCGGCGGGGGCCGGCGAGCGGAGCCGAGCGGAGGGGGGGCCGCGGCGGCGGCGGGCGGAGGGGAGGGCGGGCGGGCGGGGGGGGGGGGGAGGCGAGCGATGGATGAGGACAACATGACGAGGAGCGAGGAGCAGGAGCTGAGTCTGCAGAAGGCGCTGCAGCAGTGCGAGCTGGTCCAGAACATGATCGACATCAGCATCTCCAACCTGGAGGGGCTCCGCACCAAGTGCGCCGCCTCCAACGACCTCACGCAGAAGGAGATCCGCACCCTGGAGGTACGGGCCCGCCGACCCCCCCCAACATCAACACCCCCCCATCGGTCTCCCCCCCACCCCCCCGGGCCGCGGCGGGTTCCCCCGCGGCGCTGCGGTGCGCCCGAGTGAGGCTGCGCGCTCTGCAGGTGGCCCCGAGGTGGGTCCGGGACCACCGAGCCCTGCTGCCGGCACCCACCGGGGCCGCCCGGCCACGGCCGCAGCGCCCCGGTATCCCCCGGCATCCTCCCGGTATCCCCCGGCATCCCCCGGCCCGGCCGCGTCCCTCCCCCGGCTTCCACCGCCCGGCAGGCGGCATCCCCCGGCCCACCTGCATCCATCCCCGGCCCACCTGCATCCATCCCCGGTATCCCCCGGTATCCCCCGGCCCACCTGCGTCCATCCCCGGCCCACCTGTATCTCCCGGCCCACCTGCACCCCCTCCCCCTTCCTGCATTCCCCGGCCCGGCCCCATCCCTTCCTCCAGGTTCCTGCTCCGTCCCTTCCACCGGGCTGCATCCCATCGGCCCACCTGCACCCCTGCTGCCTGCGTGCATCCCTCCACCCTGCCTGCATCCCTTTCCCTGGACTGCATCCCTTCGGCCCACCTGCTTTCCTTGTGGCAGGCTGCATCCCACGGGCCTGGCTGCATCCCTTCCAGCAGGCTGCATCCCCTCAGCCCACCTGCATCCCTTCCACGGGGCTGCATCCCCTGGGCCTGCTTGAATCCCCTTCCCTGAGCTGCATCCCCTCAGCCCACCTGCATCCCTTCCAGCAGACTCCAGCTGACCCAGGTGGCTGCATCCCCCATGCCCACCTGCATCCCTCTGGCTCACCTGCATCCCCCTGACCCACCTGCACCTGTATCCCCCATGCCCACCTGCATCCCTCCCTCGCAGACCAGCTGCCTTCTCCCCTCCCCACCCCTGCCTTCCAGGGGATGAGGCTCCTTTTGGAGGGTTCTGAGCCCCTGCTGGGGTGAATCTGTGGTTCAGCAGGAGGTGGGTGGGCTGGGACGGGCAGGGAACACCAGGGATTGCCAGGGCTGAGTGGGATCCCTGCAGCTGGCACAGAGCAGGAGGAGCGAGGCCGTGACCCTGGGAGACGCCAGCGGGGCTGTGCTGCTGCTGTGGGGGCGGCTGGCGCTGAGCTGGGGGGGTTTCAGAGCCTGATCCCTCTCAGGCCTTGCAGCTGCTCCTGCAGCCCCTCTGTGGGGCAGCTCGTGGCTCTTGATGTGACTGGAGCACCCTGTCCTGCTGCTCCTGCTCCCCAATGCTGTGGGGACAATTGGGGTGTCACCACGTCACTGCTGTGCCACTCGTGGGGACACCCCAGGTTTGGGGTGCAGCTCCTTGCTCTGCATCCCAGCTTGTGCTCATTCCCACTCCCATCCCTTGATCCCAGCCCTGGTTCATCCCAACTCTCTGTGTGAGGGGCTGGGAGCTGTTGGTCCTGGAGCAACCTCAGGAGAGGGATAACAGTGGTTTTGGGGTGTGCTGGAGACTCTTTGGGGTGTGATGGAGACTTTTTGGGATGCACCAGGCTCCAAATCCCCAGGAGAACCTGCCAGGAGGTGCAGGAGCTCATCCCACATGGAGTGATTGGCCTCGTTGAGGTCAGCACTGAGGATTCCCTGTCTGTGTGCCATGGACATGGAGGGGAGTGTGGTGGAGCCATCCTGGTGGGATGCTCCTTCTCAGCATCCCAGTGCCACTGGGGCAGCCAAACTGGGGCTGGATGAAGTGTTTGGAGGTTTTTTGGGGGAGTGCCATCCTGGTGAGATGCCATCCTGGTGGGATGCTCCTTCCCAGTATCCCAGTGCCAGTAGAGTAACTCAGCTGGGGCTGAAAGAAGGGTTTGGAGGCTTTTTTGGGGGATGTTATCCTGGTGGGATGCTCCTTCCCAGCATCCCAGTACCACTGGGGCAGCTGAACTGGGGCTGGATAGAGGGTTTGGAGGTTTTTGGGGGATGCCATCCTGGTGGGATGCTCCTTCCCAGCATCCCAGTACCACTGGGGCAGCCAAACTGGGGCTGAATTTTGGGTTTGGAGGTTTTTGGGGGATGCCATCCTGGTGGGATGCTCCTTCCCAGCATCCCAGTACCACTGGGGCAGCCAAACTGGGGCTGGATGAAGGATCTGGAGGTTTATTTGAGGGATGCCATCCTGGTGGGATGCTCCTTCCCAGCATCCCAGTGCCACTGGGGCAGCTCAGATGGGGCTGGGTGAAGGGTTTGGAGGTGGTCAGGGGGTTGTTATCCTACAAATACTCACAGGGAAGCACTGGATCACTCAGGTGGAAGGTGTTCCTCTCCATGGGGTGGAACTGGATGAGCTTTAAGCTCCTTCCAACCCAAACCATTCCATGATTTTGTGATTTTCACTGCCTGAACGTGTGGCTTCTCTGCTGTCTCATGCCTCTCCAGCCCCTATGGATCCCTCAGCGCCAGCTACAGGGAACCCTGGCATTGCCATCCCTAAAACATGCCCAAACCGGGAGCTGGGGATGTTCCAGCCAAGGACATCCCGGCTGACACTCTCTGGTTGTTTTTCACCTCAAACCCAGGGTGATTCCCACGAGGGGAGTGAATCCAGGGCCACATTCCCAATGCCAGCCCTGGGCTGGCTCCTGGCGTTGTCCTGGGTTGCCACCAGCGTCAGCAGGAGCTCAGCTTGGCCCTGAGTCCCCAAGTCCCCGAGTCTCTGTGTCCCTGAGTCCCTGCTGCCACCAGCACGTCCCAAGGACGTGGCACAGACTCTGAGTCTCACTCTGTGCCTCTTCCCTTCCCATCTGGGGGCAGCAGAGCTGGGCCAGGCAGTGCCGTGGCAAAGGGAGGGGTGACCTGGGATGTGGCACTGGGGACAGTGCCCAGCCCTTGTGTCAGCACGAACCTGGAATAAAACAGGAGAATCCATGGGGTTTTGGTTAATCTTCATAGGCTAAACATTGATTTTGCTGGATTAGTAGAAGTTTTTCCCTTCTTTTTTTTTTTTTGTTTTAAGCCACCTTAAGGTAGGCTGAGCTCCCATCCTCCTGCCTCCTGCTGTACAGCATTTTTGGGATGGATTCCATGGTTCCAGGGGCAATCCTTGGAGCTGGGAGGCTTTTTGGGTCTTGGGACAGGTTCCAGTGGGAACCAAGGCAGCAGCTGGGATAAAACACCTGGAGTTGGAATTGTCTTTGATTTGCCTCCTATGGGGCAGCATAGAAGGAGCTGAGTGTCCATCCCTCAGCCTTGCCTGGGCTGTGGGATTTTATCCCTGTCCGAGTGTGGCAGCTGGGATTTATGGTTTTAAATTTGGGGTTGGGGTGTAAATATGGATAGGGGATGATGTGTTTGGTGGAGTTTGGGGTGTAAATATGGATAGGGGTGCTGTGTTTTGTGGAGTTTGGGAACAGCAGAAGGAAAATTTGGTCAGAGCTGGGTGATACTCCCAACTGTCCCACAGCACTGTTCTGTCTGTGGGGTTAAACCCCATCCCAGTGTCAAAATGAGAGTCAGGGCTCCCAGGAACTGGTGGATGGCTCCAGGATCAACATTTCCCTCTCCCTGTCTTGCTCTGCTCCTGCCAGGAACAGGGAACTCTCCCAGGATACTTTTGGCTGCTGTGTGGTGAGGATGGGAAGAGGCTCTGAGGAAAGAGCTGGGGCCATTCCCAAACCTCCACAGGCTCTGGAGATGCTGTCCCAGCACTGGGATTTGCCCAGAGCAGCTGTGGCTGCCCCTGGATCCCTGGAAGTGTCCCAGGCCAGGTTGGACAGGGCTTGGAGCAACCTGGGATAGCGGAAGGTGTCCCCGCCCATGGGGTGAAACTGGATGAGCTTTAAGCTCCTTCCAACCCAAACCATTACATGATTTTATGATTTTCTCTGCCTTGAACGTGGGGATTGTCTGCTGTCTCATACCATGGGTGAGCACAGTGCACTTTTCCCAGAGCTGGATCCTCCCTGGATGCTGGATGGAGACATTTTGGCTCCTGTACTCCCAGCAAAACCCCCAGGGACCATTTAGCATCTCCCGAAATAAAGGATGAGCAGAGGCAGAAACACCTCACAAGCCCAACAGGACCTTGGGAGAGCCCTGAGAGAGAGAATAGAACCGTGGCAAGGAATTCCCCAGCCCCAGGCTGCTCCAGGTGCCTCTGGAATAACGAGCCCCTCAGAGGGAGCCGCTCTGCTCGCGTTTCTTGTCACAGAAAAGGATTTTTAGGGGTGCAGAAGAAGTGAAGCGAGAGGATGTGCTGATCGGGATGGGATGGGATGGGATGGGATGAGGAAGAACAGCAGGCAAGGAATGAGAGGATGGCAGAGAATGGGAAGGGTACGAGTGGAAGGAGGATGGATGGGATGGGGAATGGGATTGGGTGGGGAAGGAAAGGTATGGGGTGGGATGGGATGGGATGGGGTGGGAACAGAAATAATGGGGAGGATAGAATGGGAAGGGATGGGATGGAAGGAGGATGGATTGGATGGGAAGGAATGGGATGGGGTGAGGAAGAAAAGGGATGGGATGGGATGGGATGGGATGGGGTGAGGAAGAATAGCAGGAAAGGAATGAGAGGATGGCACAGAATGGGAAGAGATGGGGTGCAAAGAGGATGGATGGGATGGGGAATGGGATTGGGTGGGGAAAGAAAGGGATGGGATGGGAAGAGAAAGAATGGGGAGAATAGAATGGAAAGGGATGGTGTGGGATGGGATGGAAGGAGGATGGATGGGATGGTGTGGGATGGGATGGGGAAGAAAAGAGATGGGTTGGGATGGGATGCGATGGGCATTCCCCACAGCTCACTGGCTGCCAGATGAATAAATGAACACCCCCTCCTGGATTTTCCCGGTCTCCAGGCAGGGCTGGTGCTGCCTCCAGCCCGGCTGATGCCAAGGATCCCATTCCAGGGGGGAACAGCTGCCCTGTGGCTCCTTGGGACACCGGCTCGGAACCTGCCGAGGCTGGGGCCAGCAACCATGTTGGCTTTGGGACGAGCCCAGAGAAATTCCTGCTCGGGAAATTGGGATTGGGAAATCCGGCTTCAACCCTGGGTGATCCCGGCCCCTCTCCTGGCCGGGGTCACCCAAGGTCCTGTGGAGTGACAATGGAGCGGGGACATCGCTCCTCCGCCCCCAGGGCTGTTTCCGAGGACCTGCGGGGTTCCGGGAGCTGCTGGATCCCCCAAAGATACAGAAATCCTGGCGGTTTCACTCCTTCACCCCAGAGCATCCCCGGGCAGGGATGCGGCAGGGAGAGGCGCTGGGAAGGTGGGAAAACAACGCCAATTCCACAGGAAAATCCAGGATCAAATTCCACCCGCAGGAAGGGAGGGATCCGCGGGGTTCCCGCCCCTCTCCTCGTGCCCCCTGCCCGCCTCCGGGAGGGGAAACTGAGGCACGGAGGAGGCTGTGCCACAGCAGGAACGCGGCGTTTCCCAAACTTGCTCCGTGTCGGGATGAGCGGGAGATGGGGCAGGGAATTCCCTCCCCTTTCCATCCCCATCGAACGCCGAGAGCCTCTGGATTTTACAGAGGGGTTCTGGGCTTCTTTTTTTCCTGGCTGGAGCAAATCCATGGAGCAAAGCACCTGGGGGTCCTCTTTTGGGTTAAAAATGACCCCTCCTGTCACTCAAGGGCTCCGTGAGAGTGATTCCCCCCACCTGGAAATTTAACTTCCCCAATTTTCCCCACTCTTTCCCCATTCCCAGCTCACCTCTGCATGTTGATGGTGGGGGCTGCCCCATCCCCAGCCCCATTCCCACCCCAGGACCCTGATTTTGGCACCGGGGGTGCTCAGAAATAAATCACCTTTATTCCCTTTGGGATGCCACCTGGAGAGGCAGAACGGAGAACAGGCCGGGGGCAGGATGGGGATTTTTTAGGGATTTCTTTTCCTGGTGTTTTGTGTCCATGCAAGGGCATTTTTTGGGAGACAGGAGCTGCCTCTGGGTGTGTTCAAAGTGCCTGGGGCTGCTTCAGGAGTGTGTTTGGGGTGTGAGATCCAGGCGGATCCTTAAACCTTTGATTGTCTGTTTTGGGAGTGTTTTTCCTTAAAAATCAGCCCTGGAAGTGGAGCAGAGCTCTGGGTTCCCTGCAGCCCCCCAGGTCTGGATTTGCCTCATTTTGGGGGGATTAATTTTCAGGAATTAATCCCTGGTAGCCAGGCTGAGGATGGAGAGAAGCTGCCAGGGGGTGACAACCCTGTCCTGAGAGCCTGGCAGGGCCCTCACCCACCTGGGGGTGATTTTGGGGGTGATGGCAATCTCTGATTAATTCCTGAAAATTAACCCCCAAAAACGAGGCAAATCCGGACCTGGGGGGCTGCAGGGAGCCCTCAGCCCTTCAGAGCCCTGCCCCACTCCCAGGGCTGATTTTTAAGGCAAAACATTCCCAAACCAGACAATCAAAGTTTTAAGGATCATCCTGGATCTCACACCCCAAACACACTCCAGGCTGTTGGAGCTGAAGCAGCCCCAGGCACTTTGAACACACCCAGAGGCAGCTCCTGTCTCCCCAAAAATGCCCTTGCATGGACACAAAACACCAGGAAAAGAAATCCCTAAAAAATCCCCATCCTGCCCCCGGCCTGTTCTCCGTTCTGCCTCTCCAGGTGGCATCCCAAAGGGAATAAAGGTGATTTATTTCTGAGCACCCCCGATGCCAAAATCAGGGTCCTGGGGTGGGAATGGGGCTGGGGACGGGGCAGCCCCCACCATCAACATGCAGAGGTGAGCTGGGAATGGGGAAAGAGTGGGGAAAATTGGGGAAATTTAATTTCCAGGAAAGATGGGAAAACTCCCAAATCCCGCCAGGGGGTTCTCCCCTCATCCCTGTATCCCAAATCAGCCCGAATTTCACCTGGCTGATTTTGGGGTGTGCAGGAGCAGGGGCACAGCACCATCTAGTGCTGCAGGCACCGAGGAATCGCCCAGCTGGAAAAGCAGGAGCAGGAAATCCCTGCAGCTTCCCAGCCCTGCTCTGAATTCCCAAAAAAAGGAGGGCAGCTTCATTTTGGGAGCTGGGCTGTGGTTGGGAACAGCTCCGGCCTAGGGGTGGGAGGATTTGGGGGATTTGGGGGATGATCTGAGCAGGGATGGGGCTGCAAAGGAGCAGAGAGGGGGAATGGAGCAGGGAAAGAGGAAGATTTGGGTTGGGGAGGGGGGAATGAGGAGAAAATGCCACATTGCAGCCTTGGGGTGGGAAGCTGTGGCTGCTCCCCTTGTAGGGTTTTTGTGGGGGGAAAAAGAAGGGAATGTGGCTTTTGAGGGATGTTTGGGGGGTTCTTGGCATCAAATCTGAGTGTAAGAGAGGAGACCGTGCCCTTTAAGGGTCTCTTGGCCCTGAGGTTGGGAATAGAAATGGGAAAAGTGTCCTGTAGGTGGCTGGGCAGCGTTTGTGGGAAAAGTGGCACCTGTCCCCCCTGTCCCTCTCACATCCCCAGGGCATGCCAAGGGCTGCCCACCCCCTGAACGAGACCTCAGTGCTGGATTTGGGGTGAAGGAGCTGATAAAGGGATTTTTTAGGAGGGAAATTCCCTCTTGGACACCAAACCTCAATGCTCTTTGCTGCAGGAGCGTTTTGGGGCAGAATTTTGAGCCTTTTGGGATGGGGCAGAGTGAGAGTAGAGCCCCAGCTGCCGGTGGGGGGATCCCATGAGGGTTTCCCCTTCTTTTCCAGAGCAAACTGGTGAAGTATTTCAGCCGGCAGCTGTCCTGCAAGAGGAAGGTGGCCCTGCAGGAGCGCAATGCCAAACTGGAGGGGTTCCCCCAGCTCCTGCACTGGTTCCGCATCGTCGACATCCGCAAGGAGGTGATGGAGGTAAGGGCTGGCCAAGGGAAAAGGGAGGGAGCCTTTCCTTTCCTTTCCTTTCCTTTCCTTTCCTTTCCTTTCCTTTCCTTTCCTTTCCTTTCCTTTCCTTTCCTTTCCTTTTTCCTTTCCTTTCCTTTCCCCTTCCCATTTCCCATTTTCCCCTTTTCCCTTTTTCCCTTTCCCCTTCTCCCTTTTCCTTTCCCCTTCCCATTTCCCATTCCCATTTTCCCTTTCCCCTTTTCGTCTTTCCCCCTTTTCCTTTTTCCCTTTCCCCTTCTCCTTTTCACATTTTCCCTTCCCATTTTCCCTTTCCTTCCCTTTTTTTTGGTGGATTTTTGACCCCACCCAGCAGCAAGGACACCCCATTGCTGTCCCCAGTGGGTGTCACACGGACCCCTCTGCACTGGGGACATCCCCCATGTCCCCACCAGTGTCCTCCTGTCACATCTGGGCTCCTGCACGTGCAGCAAGGGGATGGCACCCAAAGGCAATCCCACCTCCAGGGAAAAGGGAATTCTGGAGTGAAGCTCAGGTGCTGCGTGTTCCCACTCAGGGATGGGTTTTTCTGGTGCCCCCAGAGGCTGAGCTGGGCCTGGATTTAAAAACTGGATCTAAAACTGTAGAAAAACTTCAGTTCCCCCAGGTTTTCCTGGAGATTCAGGTGGGAAATGGAGGGGTTTGGAACCATGGATTGTCCCTGGTGTTCCCCGAGGATGCTCCAGGGGGGTTTGCTCCTCCTCCCTCATTCCTGCCCCGGTCCTCCCTCAGGAGATCGCCCCGGGGCAGCTCAGCCTGGAGGATCTGCTGGACATGACCGATGACCAGGTCTGTGCCACTGTGGAGAAGTTTGGGGCCAACAGCGAGGAGTGTGCCCGGCTGAACGCATCCCTGTCCTGCCTGCGCAGCGTCCACAAGTCCGGTGAGTGCCCCCTGTGCCCTCAGCCTGCCCGGCCTGGGTGCCACCGTCCTGCTCTGGGGGCACTGGGAGTGTGGTTTTAGTGTTGGCAGAGCTGCTGCATCCCCGGGGCTGCCTGGGAATAATTTCCTGCAGGGACATCTGGGGGCTGTGCTGGGAAAAGGGTTTGGGGTGCTGGTGGGTGAGAGCTGGGACCCCAAAACCCCCCTGCCCAGGAAAGAAGGGGGAGATTCTGCCCCTCTGCCCCACTCAGGTGAGACCCCACCTGCAGAGCTGCCCCAGCCCTGGGGTCCCCAACATCAGGAAGACCTGGAGCTGATGGAGTGAGACGAGAGGAGGAGATGCTCCAGGGACTGGAGCCAGGCTGGGAGAGCTGGGGGTGCTCACTGGAGAGGAGAAGGCTCCAGGGAGAGCTCAGAGCCCCTTGCAGGGCCTGAAGGGGCTCCAGGAGAGCTGGAGAGGGACTGGGGACAAGGGATGGAGGGACAGGACACAGGGAATGGCTCCCAGTGCCAGAGGGCAGGGATGGATGGGATATTGGGAATTGGGAATTGTTCCCTGGCAGGGTGGGCAGGCCCTGGCACAGGGTGCCCAGAGCAGCTGGGGCTGCCCCTGAATCCCTGGCAGTGCCCAAGGCCAGGCTGGACATTGGGGCTGGAGCAGCCTGGGACAGTGGGAGGTGTCCCTGCCATGGCAGGGGTGGCACTGGATGAGGGCCTCTCCAAATCCAGCCCATTCCATGATTTACAGAGTCCCCTGACCCCCCCGTGCCTGCAGGAGCTCGGTCAGGAGCCTCAGGGCAGATCCAGCATCGCCTCCCGGCGGGGTCGGAGCGGAGCCCCCATTCCCTGACCCCTTCCCAGGGAATGCCCAGCCCTGCCCGCCCTTCCCGGCGCTGGATGCGCCGCTCCCGGCGCCGTGCGGTTCCCGCTGCTGGATGTGCGGTTCCCGGTGCCGTTTTGTTCCCGGTACCGTGCGGTTCCTGGTCCTGGATGCACGGTTCCCGGTGCTGTGCCATTCCCGGTGTGTGCGGTTTCCATCGCTGCGCGGTTCGGGCTGCATTGCTCTCCCCGGGCGGTGGCAGCAGAGCTCCGCTCTTCAATCGCTGCCGGCGCCGCTCCGGCGGCAGCTGCGCCGGTACCGGGGGCAGAGCGGGGCCGGGTGATGCGGCAGGGGATGGGCAGGTCCGGCTGTGCTGGCGCCGGGTCCCAGCCGAGCCCTGATGGGTCACAACAGAACCGATTTATTGGGAAAGATCCTTTAGGAGCGAGTCCAGCCATTCCCCAGCACTGGCAAGGCCACCACTGCCCCATGTCTCCAAGTGCCACATCCACATGGCTGCTAAATCCCTGCAGGGATGGGGATCCAGCACTGCCCTGGGCAGCTGTGCCAGTGCCTGACCATCCTTCCCATGTAGGAATTGTCCCCAAACCCACCCTGCCCCTGCCCTGGCCCAGCCTGAGGCCGTTCCCTCTGCTCCTGTCCCTGTTCCCTGGAGCACAGCCCGACCCCCCCGGCCGTCCCCTCCTGTCAGGAGCTGTGCAGAGCCACAAGGGCCCCCTGAGCCTCCTTTGCTCCAGGCTGAGCCCCTGCCCAGCTCCCTCAGCCTCTCCTGGGGCTCCAGCCCCTTCCCAGCTCCGTTCCCTGCCCTGGACACACTGGAGCCCCTCTGGCACAGCCCGTCCCTGGATGGCAGCACAGAACCGGTGCTGTGGTTCAGGAAGGCCACTGCCAGCACAGGGGGTGGCTCTGGGACAGCAGCACACCCCTGTGATTTGGGGACCCCAGACCCCTCTGCCTGGCTGCTGTCCCCTCCAACAGTGCTGCACCCCAGGGTTTGGGAGGTTGGGAACGAGCCCCGCTGGGCTCTGCAGGTGTGGAGCAGCCCTTGGGGACAGCAGGGGACATGGTTTCAATGAGGGGCAGCTTTGGGGGCCCAGCAGTGTCCCCAGAGCATGGAATGTCCCAGAGAGGAATCCCAGCTCCATCCTGGAGAGATTTTGGCCACATCCACCAGTTCTGGATCCTCTCCCTCATGGCACAGAGTGGCAGTGCCACCCCGTGCTGGGGACAGTGGCACTGGGGTGTGACAGTGTTCACAGGGGTCTTATGTTGAGGGAAGAGGTGAGGATCTGACTCTATGTAACAGAAGGCTTTATTTATTATTTTATGATACATATTACATTAAAACTATACTAAAAGAATAGAAGAAAGGATTTCGTCAGAAGGCTGGCTAAGAATAGAAAGGAAAAGAATGATAACAAAGGTTTGTGGCTCGGCTCTGTGTCCAAGCCAGGTGTCTGTGATTGGCCATTAATTGCAAACAACCTCATGAGACCAATCACAGATGCACCTGTTGCATTCCACAGCAGCAGATAACCATTGTTTACATTTTGTTCCTGAGGCCTCTCAGCTTCTCAGGAGGAAAACTCCTAAGGAAAGGATTTTTAATGAAAAGATGTCTCTGACATCCCCCCTCTCCAGCCCCCCAAACCCAGCTCCTGCCTCCCTTCCCTTGGCATTTCCATGAGCTCTCCCTGATATTTGCAGGGCGGTGCAGAGCAAGGGCGGTGGTGCCTCCCTGGGAGCCCCGGGAGGGCTCTCAGCTGCTCTTTGTTCAAACACCTCTGACTTTTAAAGCTGCTCCACTCAAATCCCACTCTCTCCTCTGCCCTCTCGGCCCAGGGAATTCCCTGCTTTGGAAAATCCACCTTGGCCTTTGGCTGGGCAGCTGCAGGCAGTTTCTCTGGTTCCTCTGGAGTTTTCTGGTTGGAAGGAGGAGGAGATGGAAGTACCAGAGGCCTGTGGGATGCTGCTGCTCCATTTGCTCCCTAATGGGGCAGCTGATGGGGCTGCCAGCATTCCTGGTGCTCCATTGGGTCCCAGCAGGGAAGAGCCAGCCAGGCAGGGAGTGTTTGTGTTTCCCACTTAACTCCATCCATCACCCTCTGCTCTGGCTGCTCTGTCCCTGGGATGCTGCTGTGGCCATTCCTGCTCTGCCACAGCTGGATCTGGATCCTTGGAAATTCCAGCTGCTGTGGGTCCGTGCCCTCCTGGAGATGCATTGTCCCACGGATGGCACAACCCTGGGGACACGGAGGTGACCTGAGGGGTGCATGAGCTCCCAGGCAGTGGAGGAGACCAAATCTCCCTGAATTTCTGGAGGATTTGGGTGTGGGAAGCTCCACCTGTGATACCAGATGGGCTCCCTGCTCCCTGCCTCTGCCAAGCAAACGGCTCCATCCCAGGAATTCCCCCTCTTTTCATCCCCTGGGAGAGCAGGAGCAGAGTCCCTGCCCCTCTCCTGCCAGCAGGGAGTTGGGAACAGTGGGAATTCTGGCCAGGGAAGGGCAGGATGCTCCCTGGGTGCCTTGGGCTGAGGGTGGGCACTGGGAGCTCCAGACTCCCTACAGTCCAGGCAGTGTGTTTGGGTGGGATGTGGGATTGGGATGGGCAGAGCAGCACTGCTGGGAACTTGGGAATGTCTCCCTGGGCTGTTGGGGACTGAGCAGTGACGGGGTTGTGGCTCTGGGGTGCACTAAGGGGGTGCTGTGCTGCTTTTATCCATCATCCATCCATCCATCCATCCATCCATCCATCCATCCATCCATCCATCCATCCATTCGCTGGATTCCAGGGATTTGGAGCTGCTGGCTGCCTCCATGGCTCTGTGACAGTGAGGTTGACCAGCCCTTAGGAGCTCTCTGGAAACTTTTAGGATGGGGATAGAAAAGCATCCCGGGATGGCAGCGATGCTTTTTGGATGCAGTGCTGGGATTTTAGATCTATTGGGATATGACAGCCCCCCCATGCACCAACAGCCTCAGAAACACCTTTTAATCTGTGTTTTAGCTGCATTTTATCTCCTGGTGAATCAATACATCGTCCTCATCCCAAAAATGTAATTAATGAACAAGTTGCATCCTCCTTAAAAGCTGGGATTCCTCGGCAGGAGCCGCAGCGGCCGATGCCACGACGCCAAGATTTGTATTCATAAAGCAGGAATGAGGCTCAGGATTAACCTTTCCCATCCATCTTTATTTATTGAGTCGTTAATTAGAAGCCTTTAATTTCCCAGGCTGCCCTGGCCTGGGCAAGGGAGCTGGAGGCTGTTTCATGGAGATGGATTCATGGATGGGCTTGGAAAAGGAGGAACTTCCCAAGCTGAGCATCCCAGGGGCAGCAGTGGTGTTGTGGTGTTGTGAGGGTCCCCAGGACAGGGTGAGAGATGAGAGTTTGATTCCAGGTTCTCAGAAGGCTGATTTATTTTATTATGATATGATATTAAAAGAAATTATATCCTAAAACTATACTAAAAAAAGAGAAAGGAGACATCTGAAGGCCGGACAAGAATCAATAATAAAAACCCGTGACAGACTCAGAGTCTAACACAGCTGATGGTGATTGGCCATTAATTAAAAACAATTCACATGTTGGGTAAGCAATTCTTCAAATCACAATCCAAAGCAGCAGGGAGAACAGGGATAAGCTGGAAAACAAGGAGGAGCTGAAGCTTCCCAGGAGAAGAAATCCTAGTGAAGGGATTTTTCATAAAATATCACAGTGACACCCCGGAGCATCCCCTAAATCAGTGTGACAAATCCACACTCACACCCTTGCTTTGTGGGGTTAGCAAAAATTGGGTTTTCCTGGGATCCTTGGCAGCGGGGTTTTGTTTTGGGGTTTGATCCCGGAGCGGGATTAATTGAATATTAAGTCCTCCTGGAGCTGTGGCTGCAGGAGTTGATGGGCTGTGACTGCTGGGCGATGTGTGCAGGTTTTTAAGTGCCCTCCCGGGAAAAACGAGCTGGGATGGAATCTTGATGAGCCCTGGGAGGGCTGAGGGTGGCTTGGGGACAGCGTGGAGTCAGGCAGGGTCGGGAGCAGTGAGGGAAAAACAGGAAAATCCCGGTTTGGGGGGAATTTGGGAGCTGTGCTGGTGCGGTGGACAGGAGGGAAGGGTTGACCTCCCTGATATCCCCGTGCTGCCAAGCTGGGGGATTCCAGAGTCCATTCCAGAGGCTGCTATCCTGGCATGTGGGTGCTGGTTCCCAAAAAATCCTGGCCATCGCGAAATCTCCAGTTTGGAGCAGCTTTTGGGAAGGGAAGCAGCGCTGGGAGCATCCCCAGGAGCAGCTGGGCTGCCTCAGCAGCTCCTGTGGGAATTATTACCAGCTTTTAAATTTTAGGAAAACAAAGCAAACCTTGCTCTTTGTGGTTTGGGACAGGTGGAATTTTTCCATCTCTGGATCTATGAGCTGCATTCCAGAGCTGCCTCCTCTTCCCAGGAGTTTGTTTTCCTGTCAGTCTTTAATTGAGAGGTTTGGGAAAAGTTTCCCTGCTGAAATGGGGCAGAGGGAGGGATCTGAGGGGTTAATGAAGACAAATTCACCCCAAGGGAGCATCCACAGGGACGGGAGAGGTGGCGCATGAGATTGGGGGGTGGCTTTGGCTGATATCCAAAAAGAATATAATTTTTATTAAATAAATATGATTATATTATATTATTACATAATATATAATTATGTAATAAAAATTTATTATATTATCTATTGTATATAATATCTATTATCTATTATCTAATATTATATAATACAATATAATATACAATCAATAATATGATATATTATACGTGTTTTCATACACATATATAACATATAACATATAATCATATGTATAATAGATATAATTATATACTTAAATAATATATAAATTATATTCTTTAAGAATATATATAACTATATATATTATACATATTATCATATATTATATATTACTATATGGAATACATGTTATTATATATAATCATATATATTATATGTAATACTATATTATACACGTTATATAATATGTATAATATATATAATTATATATATTCTTAAATAATGTATAAAGAAATGATAAGTATATATAAATATATATAATGTATATAAATAATATATAAATAAATAATGAATTATATATTAATATATTAAATAAATACTGTCTATTATAATATATAATAAATAAATAAATTTTATTTATATATATATTTAAAATTTTAAATAATATCATATATAATATTTAGAATCCAGACAAAACAACGAAGTTTTGAGGAGCACTCAGGCGACCAATTTGGGGACAAACGGGACAGAGGTGACTTTTCCTCCCTCCCAGCTCTCCCCGTGCTTTTCCAGCCGGGAATCGGAGCAGCAGCATCGGGGAGCGCCGGAAGGGAGCGGAATCCTCCAGCCCCTAACAGGCTTTGGAGCCCGAGGAGCTTTGGGATGTTTTTGTTGTTTTTTCCCCTGTTAAGCGCATTTTCCCGGTTTAAGCTGATCCCATCTCGCTACCTGCCGCCTTCCCCTCTGGATTTACGTTCTCCCGGCTTTTCCCGTTAATTTTTAACCCACACCGGGGGTGGTTTTTATTCCGGGGAGCATCGCCGGGATACGGGGGGCGCAAGGACATCCTCACTCATCTTCATTAACGCCGCTAATTAGCGCCAGGCAGGCTCGGTGTTATGCAAATCAAGGCGAGGGAAGCGGCCAATGGGAAGAGCAGGATTTGCATAGGTGCGCGGTGACTTGCATAACTGGGATTTTTCAGATTTCTTTTTTGCAAATATTTTTATTATTCCTATTTTTAGTTTAATTTATTTTTATTTATTCATCATTCTAATGAATTATTTTATTTTTAAGCATTGATAGTTTTTATTTCTTTTTATTTCTTTTTATTTCTTTTTATTTCTTATCTTTTCTATTTAACTTACAACACTTTTACTTCTTACTTTTAATTTTTTGTACTTCTTATTAATTCTAATTAATTAGTTTTATTTTTTGGAGTTTTTAGTTATGATTTTTACTTTATTTATTATGATGTATTTCTATTTTCAGCTAATTTTAATTTTAAACCTTCTAATTATTGTTTTAATTATATTTTATTCTGATTAATTTATTTTAATTTCTCAAAATTTAATTAATGCTATTTTGTTTACTTTAATTTTTTATCCATTCTAATGAATTCATTTTAATTTAAAAAATTTTTAATATTATTTTAATTTTTATTATTCTGTTGATACAATTTTAATATTTTATAATTATTTAGGAATTCTTTATTGTTATTTTAAAAATATTTTGCAATTATTTGGGAAATTTTTCCTGGAAATATTTTCATATTTTACAATTATTTGGGGTTTTTTATAATTTATTTTGATGTTGTGCTCCAAGAAAATGATTCCAGCAAACTCCTCCTGCGCCATCCTCCACCCCTTGACTCAAAGCTTTTTTTCAACCCAAACCTTTCCTTTCCCAATCCCCTCCTTTTCCCTGGAGCTTGAACTGGAACATTCCCATGAAAAGCCTGGAGTGAGGGGAGAGGATCCAATGGGAGAGGAGAAGGCTCCAGGGAGAGCTCAGAGCCCCTTGCAGGGCCTGAAGGGGCTCCGGGAGAGCTGGAGAGGGACTGGGGACAAGGGATGGAGGGACAGGACACAGGGAATGGCTCCCAGTGCCAGAGGGCAGGGATGGATGGGATATTGGGAATTGGGAATTGTTCCCTGGCAGGGTGGGCAGGCCCTGGCACAGGGTGCCCAGAGCAGCTGTGGCTGCCCCTGGATCCCTGGCAGTGCCCAAGGCCAGGCTGGACACTGGGGCTGGGAGCAGCCTGGGACAGTGGGAGGTGTCCCTGCCATGGCAGGGGTGGGATGAGATGATCCTTCAGGTCCCTTCCCATCCAAACCATTCCAAGATTCTGCAACACAGAGAAGCTTCTTGCTGGGATGCAGCACCAGCATCGAATCAGTCATGGAACAGTTGGGTTGGAAGGAACCTTTAGGATCACCCCAATTCCATGGGACACCTTCCACTCAACCAGGCTGCTCCCAACCCCATCCACCCCAAAAACACCCACAGGGATGGAACCTTTAACCCCTGCAGTGCTGATCAGAGAATCCCTGTGACCGTGTTCACAGGGGTCCGAGGATGAGGGAAGAGATGAGGATCTGACTCCATGTTTCAGAAGGCTTGATTTATTATTTTATGATATATATCACATTAAAACTATACTAAAAGAATAGAAGAAAGGATTTCATCAGAAGGCTGGCTAAGAATAGAAAAAGAAGGAATGATAACAAAAGCTTGTGTCTCTTACAGAGTCCAAGCCGGCTGGGCTGTCATTGGCCATTAATTAGAAACAATTAACATGGGCTAGTCACAGATCCACCTGTTGCATTCCACAGCAGCAGATAACCATTGCTTACATTTTGTTCCTGAGGCCTCTCAGCTTCTCAGCAGGAAAAATCCCAAGGAAAGGATTTTCCATGAAAAGCTGCCTGCCGCACATCCCCACTCTATTCCCCACCTCACGGCCGTGTCTCTGTGCCCTCTCCAGGCGGGAGCCTCTCCAAGCAGGACTGGACCATCCAGTGGCCGAGCACGGAGCCGGGCAAGGAGAACAGCCCGGGCTGCCCCAGCGCGGATCCGGGCCCCTGGGGCAGGACGCACCCGAGCCCCAAGATGCCCCCCAAGTGCGGGCAGCACCACTGCCACGCCGCCTCGTCCCACGGCCCCATGTACACGCACGTGGACCGCCTGACCGTGGAGGGCCACCCGGGGCTGTGCCCACCGCTCGAGTCCGGGCACCGCTCGCTGCCGCCGTCCCCGCGGCAGCGCCACGCCGCGCACACGCCGCCGCGCACCCCCAACATCGTCACCACCATGACCCCGCCGGGGACGCCCCCCGTGCGCCGCAGGAACAAGCTGAAGCCCCCCGGCACGCCGCCGCCCTCGTCGAGGAAGCTGATCCACCTCATCCCGGGCTTCACGGCGCTGCACCGCAGCAAATCGCACGAGTTCCAGCTGGGGCACCGCGTGGACGAGGCGCACACACCCAAGTAAGTGGCGACCCACCTCATCCCAGTGCCTCGGGAAAAGGACTTTTATCCCTAAATAATGCGTCCTGTTTGGAGGTTTCGTGTGGAAATTCCTTATTGCAGCGAGGATGCTGTGGGATGGTGTCGGATCTGCTCCCCCAGGATCTCATTTTGGGGTGGATAGGGAGCTGGGATGTTGTGGAATGGTGTTGTATCTGCTCCCCCAGGATCTCATTTTGGGGTGGATGGGGAGCAGGGATGTTGTGGGATGGTGTCGGATCTGCTCCCCTAGGATCTCATTTTGTGGTGGATGAGGCGCACACCCCCAAGTAGTGGTGACCCGGGTGCTGGGGGGGAAAAGCCTCATCCCAGCGCCTTGGGAAAAGGACTTTTATCCCTAAATAATGTGTCTTGTTTGGAGGTTTCGTGTGGAAATTCCTTTTTGCAGTGAGGATGCTGTGGGATGGTGCCGGTTCTGCGCCCCCAGGATCTCATTATGGGGTGGATGGGGAGTGGGGAAGATGTGGAATGGTGTCAGATCTGCTCCCCTGGGATCTTATTTTGGGGTGGATGGGGAGCAGAGAAGATGTGGGATGGGGTTTTGGGCCCCCAGGATCTCATTTTGTGGTGGATGGGGCGCACACTCCCAAGCAAGTGGTGCCCTGAGTGCTGGGGGGGAAAAGCCTCATCCCAGCGCCTTGGGAAAAGGACTTTTATCCCTAAATAATGCGTCTTGTTTGGAGGTTTTGTGTGGAAATTCCTTATTGCAGCGAGGATGCTGTGGGATGGTGCCGGTTCTGCTCCCCCAGGATCTCATTTTGGGTTGGATGGGGAGCAGAGAAGACATGGGATGGGGTTCTGCTCCCCCGGGATCTCATTTTGGGTTGGATGGGGAGTGAGGATGTTGTGGGATGGTGTCGGATCTGCTCCCCTGGGATCTCATTTTGGGGTGGATGGGGCGCACACCCCCAAGTAAGTGGTGACCCGAGTGCTGGGGCGTGTTGGGAGGGGTAAACCTCATCTCAGGGCCTTGGGAAAAGTACATATATCCCTAAATAATGCGTTTTGTTTGGAGGTTTTGTGTGGAAATTCCTTTTTGCAGCTCCTTGCAGGGGGATGTTGTGGGATGGTGTCGGATCTGCTCCCCCAGGATCTCATTTTGGGGTGGATGAGGAACAGGGAAGTTGTGGGATGGGGTTCTGCTCCGCCTTGATCTCATTTTGGGGTGGATGGGGAGCACCCAGTGGCTCCAGGATTGCTGCTGGCCATGCTGGAATGTGGGATGGGAGGGCTGGATTTTCCAGCTGCTGCACGGGAATGGCTGTGAGAACTGCATGGGGGAATGAGTACACTCCGGAGAGAGATGGGAATAATCACCTTCCAGCTGGAAAGTGGAAATATGGATTTATAAATCCTCACGGAGAGGAGTTTGTGTTCTGAGACCCCTCGGGATCTTTTCCATGCAGGCTCTGCCGCATCCCGCAGCTCCTGCTCTGCGGCCCCGCTGCCGGCAGAGGCTGCTGCTGGGCAGGGAAAGGATTCCCTGGCATCTCTACATTCCCTCCCCATCCCTTTCCACTCTTCTCGGTGGCTCTGCTCGGAAAACCTTTCTCCTGCCATGGCACCGGGTGGCAGAGGGGACTCGCGGCCACTTTGGGACATCACCGCCTCTCCCTGAGGGTGTTTGGGGATGGAGCTGGTCCAAAGCGGGATCCCAGGGGAAACTGCTCTTTTCATCCCAAAATTCGGGGTTCTTGAGGATTAGAAGAACCCTGGGAATGGTCTTCTGAAGGTTGTGAGGGAGCAGGGATGCCCTGGCACAGCACAGCCCCTCTGGCCTGTCCGTGGTGTTTGGGCAGCTCCGGCTGGGACATGGGAAGGGTTAAATCCACTTTAAATCCACACTGAGGCGCTCCCAGTGCCTGACCTGGAGCTCCCCTCGTTGGGCAGAGGGAACCAAGGCCGGTTTGTGGGTGGCAGATGTGTCTGGTGGCCTCAGCGTGGCGGCGTCACTTGTCCCCTGAGCTGTGGCACCGTCATGGTGTGAGTTGAGGGTGAGCATCCACCCTCCTTTCCCCCTGAGCTGGGAATTTTTGGTCTCCAAGGGCTTTTAGCTTTTGGGAACAAAGCCATTTCAGCTGGAAATGCCTCCTGGAAGGCCACCCTCGTGGTCAGGCACTGGAGAAGTGTTGGCTTTGTTGGGTCCCCAGGAGCATCCCCGTGTTCCCTCCTCTCCCTCTTCCTGCTTTTCTCGGCATTCCAGCCCCAATCCGTGCTCTGCCCTCAGCTGGAGAGGGTCCCATCGAGAGCAGAGCTTGCCCTGTTTGATCCCTGGGTTGGTCCCTGGGTATTCCCTGATGATCCTGAGCTGAAATTGCCGGGCAGCACCAGGAAGGGAGCGCTGCAGGTGTTGGGAAAGCTGGATGGAGTCAGGCAGGGATCACAGGAATCAGGTTTGGGCTGGAAGGAGTTACAGCTCGTGTCATTCCAAGGGCAGGGACACCTTCCAGCACTCACCTGGAGCTGGACACCATGGAATCTTCTGGCCCAGAGTGGGAAGGGGGTGCCTGGAATTCCCTGCAAAGGGAAGGAACAGGGAAGGGCGTGGAGATGGAAATGTCACACGGGGTGACACAAACGCACAGTGATGTCCCCTCTGCCTTCATCCCTCTCCACATTCCTGGCACAGGGTGCCCAGAGCAGCTGTGGCTGCCCCTGGACCCCTGGAATGTCCCAGGACAGGTTGGATGGGGTTTGGAGCAGCCTGGGACAGTGGGAGGTGTCCCTGCCATGACAGGGGTGGCACTGGATGAGCTTTAAGTTCCCTTCCCACCCAAACCATTCCATGATTCCTTTCCCTGACTGCAGCCAGTTCTCCCAGTGTCTCCAGTGCTCCCTTCCCAGTGGTGCTGGGCAATCTCAGCTCCTGATTAGGGAATTAATCAAGGGAAGAGCCAATATTGACAGGTCCCCGTTGTGCCCCAGGGGCTGCTGCGCCGGCTTGGATCCGGATTCCTGCAAACCCCTTGGAGAAGCAGGGAACTTCATTTTCTCTAATGGCACTTAATGATTTTGCAGGAGACAACCACTAAATCCTGCCTGCTAATCCCATTAGTGCTTCGGGATTGTAATTAGTGCATTAAAGAGGCAGCTTCTTCTTTTTTCCCTCTTTTTTTTTCCAGCACAGCCCTGCTGGAGTGGAAGTTGTTTATTAGCCTAGATGAGGTGGAAAATGCCTGGCACAGAGAAAAAGTGGATTAAAACTGAAATATTTTCTGGCTCTTTTCAGCTAATTGTTATTTTATGGCCGTGGAATTTGAGGATGGGGATTTTTTTTAATGCCACACTTTAACAGTGTACCTGAAGTCCGAGTCCTCTGTGCTTTCTGCAGGAGGGAGCTCATCCCTGGAGGAGGATTTGGAACCTGCCCTGATCAACCCCTCCTGGTTTTAGTTGGGCCCTTGGGTTGCTTTGGATTGGGGCTTTTTGTTCACTTTGTCCTGTTCCAGCATGGAAGGAGGGGCTGGACATGGAGAGCTGAGAGTTTGAGGAGATCCCAAGTGCTGGGTGGGATCTCCTGGAGTGATCTGGGGTGGAGATTTAACCCCATCCTGCCTGGTCTCTCCAAGGACCCTTCTGAGACCATCCCAGGTGGGACGTTGGCGTCCCTCATGCTGATTTATGGAATGGTTTGGGATGGAAGGGATATTAAGGACTATCTTGTCCCACTCCTGCCATGGCAGGGGCACCTTCCACTGTCCCAGGCTGCTCCAAATCCTGTCCTGGAACATTTCCAGGGATCCAGGGGCAGCCCCAGCTACTCTGGGCACCCTGTGCCAGGGCCTGCCCACCCTGCCAGGGAACAATTCCCAATTCCCAATATCCCATCCATGCCTGCCCTCTGGCAGTGGGAGCCATTCCCTGTGTCCTGCCACTCATCCAAAGTCCCTTGATCTCCTCCCCAGCTCAGGATGGGGTGAAAGGGGCTCAGGGGTGACTTTGGCAGGAGGAGAAATCTCTCTCCCCACGATCTGTGTGTTGGGATTGATGGAGTGGAGCCCTCGGGGTTCTCTGAGGCTGCCCCCCCCCTGATTTCTCCACCTTGGCACCGACAGAAAATAAACCAGCACCATTTATTTGTGACAGCAGCAGCAGCGACTGGGTCCCCTCCCGAGCAAGGCCACCTTGTACTGCTTGATTTCCGGTGACAGCTCATAAACTCCTTTGAATGTTGTGTTTTGGATCTTATTCCCGGTGTTTAATCCATCATTTCTGTGTGCCAAGACCTTCTGAGGCAGGGGTTAAGTCTGATTTTTTTCTTTTTGGAGCTCCCAGCCTCCAATTTTCCCGCATGGAGTCTCCAGCTGCCGACCGTAACTCCGAGGTACGGAACATTACTCCTGAAAAGATCCCCTGACTTCCATAAATCCACAGCCCATAAACATCTCAGGAACGGTCCCCAAACCCAAACAAAACATTGAGAGCAGCTGATAAAATAATGCCCATTTAATACCTCATGAATTCCACGGGCCATTGGAGTCTCTCATGGGTAGTTAATGATTATCCATCAGCCAGGAGCCAGGGAAGAAACAAACTTGGAATGGGAGCTCTCAAAAATCCATTAGCTGGAGAACTGAAGTCCAGCTCGTTAAGGGCTTGTTAACCCTCGGAAGGAGTGGTGGATTTTACCCTTAGACCCATCCTTTGGCCAATCTTTTGTCTTTTGTCCTCTACCTAGACCCACCCATCATCCTTGGACCCATCCTTAGACCTTATCTTTCATCTTTAGGCCTCCCCTTGAACCCATCCTTCATCCTTAGATCCCTTTTTAGACCCATCCTTTGGCCCATCATTTATCCTTTATCTTTTATCTTTTATCCTTATGTTAACCCTTGGAAGGAGTGGGTGGACTTTACCCTTTGGCTCATCCTTTATCCTTGGACCTCTACCTAAACTCACCCATTATCCTTGGACCCATCTTTAGACCTGTCCTTCATCTTTAGACCTGTCCTTCATCTTTA